AGGCCTTTGGCGAGTCGATACGCCATGTCGAGAGCCGCCGGGCGCGTAAAGGGGAGGCTCGAAGTCGAGGACGGCACGATCTGGAAGGCCAGCGAGCACAGAAGCGACTGGTCGTCGGCGCGCTCGAGCTTGACAATGAGCGCGTCAATGTGAGCGCGGTCGCAGCCAACGTCGCGGCCGATCGCTGCCATGTCGGCGAGAGACTCCTGGAAGAGGTAGCAGGCGACGAAGCGGCCGTGGGCATCCGACTCGACGCCAATCCACTCGACGACGTAGTAGTCGTGGCCGCGAAGGAGCTTGGACTTGGGAGAGGCCAACGCAAACCACTTGGTCGTCGCGCGCTTCTCGAACGGCACGTCGGTCTCGTCGTAGAGGTGCTCGACAATCGCTGCGTCAAGGTACGTGTCGGGATAAACCGCGCGCGCCCACGTCTGGAAGGCTGGCGTCGACTCGGCGGCCTGGAAGAGCATCTTGATTGCGTGCGGGAGGCGCGCGTGGATCTTGGTGACGGCGCGCGCGGCCTTGTACTCGGCGGTTGTCTTGGAGAGACTTACGTTCTGCTTGGCGCTCACTGCCTGCCAGAGAGAGCCTTTCGCGAGCAGCTGCAAGCTCGCGCGCGCGCGCGTCTCGGCGTACGTCCGCTTCTCGAGCTGGCGCTGGCGCCGGCGGTGCGCCATCTTCCTATCACGCAAAGTGCAAAGTGGAGACGGTTGATACACGCGCTGTAACAAGCCAATCACACGCGCCCGGCGAAGATACCAGCGTGCACGCCATGGGAGGAATCTGCCGCCGGTCCCACGCCGCCGACGAGATGCGAGCGCTTGCGAGGTCATGGCGGCCACGCGGGCCGGCGGCGAGGCACCGTCGTTGCGCGGAAGAGACATGCCATCGGACGATGGATGATAGAACGCAGGTCCATTTCTTGAAGTTCAAATGCAAATGTACATCGCGCATCGCCCACGGCAGAGCTCTCTAGCAAGCAGCAACTGCAGCGACACCATGCTCGTGAACGAGAAGGACCACGAGCGGTCGGCGACCGCTGCGTTGATGGCGCTGTCCCGGCTAGAAGGCGCGATCCAGGATCGTTCTTTGTATCCGGATCCGGATGCGCTGCCAGGTTGCAGCCGTCGGCCACAACGAGAGATGGCCACCACGCATCCGACCGCAGTCGCCGTTGGCGCCGCCCACCAAGTGTCGAGCGAGTCGAAGGACCGCGCCGAGGCCTTCAAGAACCAGGGCAACGAAGCGCTCAAGGAGCACAAGCTGTCGCTGGCGGTCGAGCTGTACACGACGGCCATTGGCATCACGCCGACCGCCATCTACTACTCGAACCGCGCGGCCGCGCACATCAAGATGGAGAGCTACGGCCTCGCGCTCACCGACGCCTCTGAGGCCATCAAGCTCGACCCGACGTACATCAAAGGTACGCTGCCATGTTGTGAACAATGCAACATGACGATGCACCAGCATACTACCGTCGGGCGTCGGCCAACTTGCCGCTGGGTCATCTCAAGGACGCGCTGCGCGACTACCGGACGGTCGTCAAGATGAAGCCGTCGAGCGCCGAAGCCAAGAGCAAGCAGAAGCTCTGCGAGCAGCTCATTCGCCAGGCGGCGTTCGCCGAGGCCATTCAATCCGAGCGCAACCGCCCGCTCTCCGACACGATCGACGTCAACGCCATGGGTACGTCGCTTGATGGCATCATCCTCGATTGCTCATACTGGTAGTCGTCGATGCGAGCTACGACGGGCCGCACTTGCCGGTGACGCCGGACGCGGACTTTATGGTCAAAGTGCTCGACCACTTCAAGCGCGGGAAGCTGCTCCACCGCAAGTACGTCATCCAGGTCCTCTTGTCAATCAAGGAGCTCTTCATGTCGCTGCCGTCGCTGCTGCGCATTCCGCTCGGGACGCACGACGAGGCGCGCATCACGGTCTGCGGCGACACGCACGGTACCCCGAACCCTACCCTCGTTATTTGAGTGTACTTTTTAGGGCAATTCTACGACGTGTGCAACATTTTCGAGATGAACGGGCTCCCAAGTGAGACGAACCCGTACCTCTTCAACGGCGACTTTGTCGACCGCGGGTCGTTCAGCCTCGAGGTCGTGCTCACGCTCTTCATCATGAAGCTCGCGTTCCCGTCGCACGTGCACCTCCTCCGCGGCAACCACGAGTCGAAGAACATGAACAAGATCTATGGCTTTGAAGGCGAAGTCAAGCACAAGTACGACGACGTCGTGATGAACCTCTTCTCGGAGGTCTTCAACTGGCTGCCGCTCGCCGCGTGCATTGAGAACAAGGTGCTCGTCGTCCACGGCGGCCTCTTCCACCAAGACAGCGTCTCGCTCGCCGACATTGAGAAGATTGACCGCAACCGCGAGCCGCCCGAGTCGGGGCTCATGTCGGACCTCATGTGGTCGGACCCGCAGCCGTTCCCGGGCCGCGGGCCGTCCAAGCGTGGCATTGGCCTCAGCTTTGGCCCGGACGTGACCAAGGCCTTTCTGGCGCACAACGGCCTCGGTACACTCGGCTGCCACAGATTGTCGTATGAATCGTTGGGCTAGAGCTGCTCGTGCGGTCGCACGAGGTCAAGGACGAAGGCTACCTCGTCGAGCACGATGAGAAGTGCATCACGGTGTTCAGCGCGCCCAACTACTGCGACCAGATGGGCAACAAGGGCGCGTTCATCCACTTTTACAAGGACCTCAAGCCCCGCTTTACGCAGTTTACGGCCGTCGTACGTGCTCTCTTCCAGTATACATGTCTCATAGTCGGTAGGAACACCCGCCGATCCGCCCGATGGCGTATGCCGGCAACATGGGCGGCCTCTTTGGCTTGTAATGCGCAGAGTCGATGCTTTGACGATTATTAGTAATATATAATGATGGTCTATGGTACAAGATGAGAAGGTCCTTCAGACGTCGACCGGCAAGGGCGACGGAAGGGTTGAGCTACTACTTTGGCTGCTCCACACACTGCCGTCGAGGCCGTAAATCGTGTGGTAGTCGGCGGTGAGGTCAAAAGCTTGGAGACCGTCCATGGAGCAGACAAAGTCGCAGGGGCTGAAGCGCCCGAGCACCGGGACTTGGGTCGAGTGCAAGCTCAACGTCGGAAACAGCTCAATCTCAGCCGGCACGCGGAGCTCGCACATGCCCGAGACAGCGATCGAGCGCGGCGTGAGCTTGCCAAACTGGACCTAGATCGTCCATTTTAGTTGAGCAATTGAAAGCGGTGTACGCTACCTGCACAATGTGCATGCTCGGCGTGTCGGGGTACCGGTACAATAGGACGCCGATCGTCGACGAGCCGGTCGCGACGAGCGACTCGATCGGAGTGACTTGCAGCGACGGGGCCAGGATCGTACCCGACGAAAAGAGGCCAATCTAGTGTAGACACGTGAGCTCGGAAGGAAGACCTCAAAGGGTATTACCGAGTGCTTCTGCGTCCCGACGAGCGCGTTGAGGGGTAGGGTTGCCGGCGACGAGAGGCCAATGCACGATGTGATGAGCGACGGCGCTTGGACAATGCTCATTTCAAAGTACAGCGCCTTCTCGATCGGGATAGCCACGTTGGCACGAACCGTGCGGTACAGCCCCTGGTGGATCTATCCAACAACGTGGTCTTGGATACCTGGATAGCAGAAGCATCGGTGTACCTTGGTGGCGCAGTGGCCGCCGCAAGAGAGCTGGATCTCGGGTGCGCAGTCTTGGTGGTTAAAGTTGGGCACGATAATGTCATCGCGCTGCTTTCCCTGCAGCATGGCTAGTCAATGTGCATGAGACGCGCGAAGGGCCATGGCGTCGGCGCTACCAGCGCGCTCTTGTCGGAGCTGGTCCCGTGCGTGGTAGAGGAGGTCGGTCGAGAAGGACGAGAGCGAGGCGGTCATCTGAGCACGCGCGCGGGGCGAGGCCGGGATCGACTGCGGTGTGAGGCCTGTGTTGTAGATTGCTTGTGAATTGGCGAGCAGCTAGTTGAGGCAGTTAGTTGCTGCTGCTGCTCTATGGCAGGTTGCACCTCATGACGAGGAACCGGCGGCAGCTGCACGGTGGCTTCAAAGGGCCGCGCCGACATCTGCGTCAAGGACAAGGCGTGAGAACTCACATGCATGTAGGTGCGTGGATGCAGTACGGTGAAGTGCATCATGCGGCGCATGCGCTTGCTCATGAGGTTGTCGTCCTTCTCGCGGTACTCGAGCACGATGGCCAAAACTACCGGATGCCACGTGAGAAGAGCCAGGGCGCATGTTCGTACAAGTGTCTTGGTACGGCGTCATGGGCGGTTCGTGTATCGACGACGGAAAGGACATGGCCGACGTCGGCGAGTCGGGCGGCGACGACGACATGCAGCAGTCGTAGATCTTGCCGAGCTGCGCGCACGCGGTGGGCACATATGGGATCGCCTGCGCGCACGAGTAGATGTGGTCGTACGCTGCGTGGACAAAGTCCGAGATCCACTTGATCGCTATCCACGCATCGTGCATGAGCCATGGGATGCAAGCGTGTCGTACTGTCGATGAGCCATGCGATAAAGCCGCCGGCGTCCGAGGCCCAAATGTCGCACGAGTTGACCTTCGCCGTCCATGCCTCCGAGATGGACGGCAGCGACGTGCTCGCAATGTCAAAGTGCAGTAGCTGGTGCAAATGGCGCTTGGCGTCCTGGACGACGTCGCTCGAGACGCCAAAGCGCTCTTGGATGTGGTCCATCGAGTGCAGGATCGCCAGACAGACCATGAGCATCTACATCGCAGGGTCAGCGCCGCCATGGCCGCGTCAGCCTACGTGGTTCTTCGTGTTCTCGGCCGTCTGCAGCCATGAGGCGCTGTAGTACTTGGTACTATGCATCGCCGCCGGTCCTTCTTGCTGAGAATTGGGATCTGCGCGACCCAGGTTGACGCCCGGCGACCCAAAAATTAATTTTCACGGGTGTTACCCGCAGCCAAACACACAGATGTACTATGTTCTAGAGGTTTTCCAAAGATCGCGGGGCGCTGCGCGGTAGTCGACCGCTGCCCTTCGTCCCTTGACAAGCGTCGGCCTGTCGCCGATCCTAAACAGACGCCGCTGTACCGCGTTGGCCATGCCTCACTATGTCTCGAGCTCCCGAAGGCGCGCTCGAGTTGAACAATATGTTGAAGCTGGCACGGAAAAAAAGCCGGCGTTCGATATTGGTAGCTTGAGCGCGCCCTCGGATTTGCCTCGGCATACAAACACCAAGTGGCGCAATATTCAGTACGACGGCAAGCGATATGGTTGCCATGGGACACGCCTGCTTCAATGGAGCCACTGTGGAAGGGACGCGCCCGTATTTCTACCACACCCGACATGCGTCGAGTAGACGAAATGGGCGGCCGTCGCTCTAGCACCGTCGTCGTAAGTCACGCGTTGACACGACAAGTGCGCTTGGCTAATGCAATATGAATATGAACAACCGCCAGCCGCCGCTTCAATCTTGTGCGTCGCCTTTGCGCCAGGCTAATTTGTCTGCGGTAGGAGAGAGAGTACATGGCTTCTTGACCGCTATTCATTATTCGGCAGCGACCGGACGAAATATGTGTGTTTCGTCAGCAGTCCTACGGGGGTAGTGGGACAAGAAAAGTATCCTAGGACTTCATGCGATCCTCCCTTTTGCGCTTGGTGGTTGCAACGCTGAGCTACTCGACGTCAGACAATACAAACCGAGGAGCTCGAACCAAGCTTGCTCGGTACTGTCGTTGTATCGAGAGCAATCCTTCGCCCAACGCCAAGTGGGTGGGATCCACGCTCGACAAATTAGGTTGAAGTGCCTTTTATGAGCACAGCATGTCTGGAATGGGTCCCACGACTACGTAAAGGCGGAGAATGTACTATAACGTTAGTACAAACTAAAATTGCATCGAGATCCTTGAACTCCGTAAGCCTTGCGTCGTTGTCCCTCGTCGTTGTCGTTGGCGTAAATGAGAGAGAGTCGGAGATTCGGGGGACGGATGATGTCATGGCGATGACAGCGATGATGCCGCAAGCATGATGCAAGCTGGGATTCGTACCGTGCCTCGTCCCTTCCGTTGACGAAACGTAGTCAAGACGGCGTCAAATGCCAGTGTCCATGGCGTTGGAGGTGGAACGGCGCCCCGCGGCCTGCCAAAGTCGTGTCGGTCGGTCGGTCGGTCGGTCGTTGGGACGTTGACGCGACAACCGACATCCGTTTGCATCGAGTCGCGTTAGTCTGATGCGATAACGTTACGATGGCGAGATCGCGGTAGCGACGGCAGAGTGGGCGCGGAAGCTTCCGGGACTGTGATGACCGCCAGCGTTGACGGTGGACTGTGAGCGTCGTGCTCGAGATGCCAGGTACCAACACACAGTGTCGGAGCCTAGCGCTGACAAAGACGTTGCTCATGCGAAGACGACAAGCTCCAAATTGCGCTTCGACTCGGGAACAACCTTTCTATCGCACGCTGCAAAAGCAAGAGAACGTAGCAGTGGGATTTCCATTGCGATGAAACCAACTCGTAGAGAGAAGGCTTTTGGAGAAGGATCATGACGCTGTCCATGACCCTTCTGAGCTACGAGATAGTATTATAATAACCAGATTTGTTTGGATTTGATTTTGGTCCAGACGCAGCTCTTGCCAACGCCCATGCTAAAGACAAAAGACGCATACGCCGAATTGATTCCAAATGCGACGGCGCGGCAGCTATCTCACGAGCATAGGGAACGACAGCTGCAACCGTCGGTCCGACCCAGGACAAAACCCGCATATTGTGCGGATCGATGGAATTTTTATGGACAAAACACGCATATTTTCCCCTGCGTCTTGCCAAAACCTTGACCATACTGCAACCGGCAACGCCCACTCAGTTCTTAGCCGTCAAGACCAAACTTTGCATTCGACCAAAATGCGGGAATGGCTCACATATACCGACTCACAGCACGTTGGCTTCGTCCGTCGTGGACTCGAATCCCCGCATTTTCCTAATTTCCCTTGGGTGCAGTTGGGGAATATGCGGCTTTTGACGAAACACGCTCCACTGTCGCGTCCAGTCAATCCGCAGAGGCCGTGCCAGTCTCGCTACCTCGTTGTACTGATACGGGGTAGCGTCTGCACCTGGTCGCCTTCTCTGCCAGTGCTTGGAATGCTCCACGTTTGGTCGCTGGGACGCCGTGAATCGGAACGCTAGTCGATACCAGCGTCTGCCGGTGCACGCGAAGTTGTGTGATTTCAGCCTCCTGTTCCGTGCGCTGAAGGTATTTCACCGCTCCTAAGCAGTCGGCGCCAAAACGGGCTTGAAAAATCGTTCGAATCGAATGGATTTCACTTGGTGTTTGTATGTGGTACCTCGCCCCTAAAGGCCAATCATTTTGACCAATCAGAGACGCAGATTGCTGTCGCTGGGCTATTTGGCTCACTCTAATCCTCGGCCGAAATGAAGCTGCTCGTGGCGTGCCCGGACCAGGAGGTCTTCCTCGTCACCGTCGACGGCGAGAGCTCCATCAAGACGCTCGCTTCCGACGTCCGTACCAAGTTCTCGAGCATCTACCACGACCGTGACGAACTCTCGGCGGACCTCTACCTCCAGAAGGCCATCCCGGGCATCAATGTCCGCCACCATACCGACGCGCCAATGGCCGACGTCGATCCGAGCATGACGGTCGCCGATGCCTTCGACGAGATGGAAGTCGTGTACGTGCAGACGGGCCGCATCCACAAGCGTGCGGTGCCCGACGCCGAGGCCAACCAGCCCCCGGCCAAGAAGGCCAAGAAGATGGCGACGTCTGCCCCTACTACCGAGCAGCCGAAGGCGGCCAAGGCTGTCGCGGCCAAGGCTGTCGCGGCCAAGGCTGTCGCGCCCAAGGTTGTCGCGCCCAAGCCCAAGACTGCGAAGCCTGCCCCGGCACCGGAGGCCACTGCCGAAAAGAGCTTGAAGAAGACCAAGAAAGTCGCAACGGCCGCTCCGGTGGAGGTTGCCCAGGTGACGGCGGTCAAGGTGGTCGTCCCGAAGGAGGCTACACCCAAGGTGAAGGTCGTCAAGGAGAACGTCGCCAAGGACAAGGTCGTCAAGGAGAAGGTCGTCAAGGAGAAGGTCGTCAAGGACAAGGTCGTCAAGGGCAAGGTCATCAAGGAGAAGGTTGTCAAGGCGAAGGTCGTCAAGGCGGCTGCTCCGGTTGAGGCTGCGCCTGCCGTTCCTACGCAGGTCGAGATCTCGCAGGAGGCGGCGGCGACGAAGGCCTTCGAGCTCCCCTCGGTGCCCATCTACTCGAGCTCGGAAGACGAAGATGACAAGCCGATCAAGAAGAAGACGCCCGTCGTTGCTGCTGCGGTTGTCGCCACGACACCCGTCGTCAAGGAAAAGAAGACGCCGACAACGCCGGCTGCCGAGGCCGCAACGACCCAAGTGACGCCGGCCCCCAAGAAGCGCATCGTCAAGGCTAAGGACGCTGCCGAAGCCGCTCCTGCTGTCGAAGGCGAG